ATTCTGATTCATAGCGACCCTAGAGGACAGAGTAGACTTGCTTCACAGGATTTCTGAGACCATGACTCTTTATGAGAGCAGACAGCCTCATCTTTCTCAGTTGGTGTGTTTGAACTACTGCTGACCTGGAGTTAGCATCCTGGTGCTTAACCTACTGCACCACCAGGGCTCCCTGTTGTTTTGGGTGCTGCCGAGTCAGTTCTGATCCTTCCTGACCCTATGAACAAAGAACTAAACACCACCCATCCTGCACCATCCCCACAATTGTTGTTATGTTGGAGTTCATTGTTGGAACCACGGTGTTAATTCATCCTATTGATCATCTTCTTTTCCCCTCCCCTTCTGCTTTACCAAATATGCGTCTTTTTCCAGGGACTCATCTCTCTCGATAACATCTCAAAGTATATGGGATGAAGTCTCGACATCTGTGCCACTAAGGAGCATTCTGGCTGTACTTTTTCCAAGACAGATTTGTTTGTTCCTTTGACAGTTCATGCAGGATACTTAAAATATTCTTTACTAGCACCATAATTCAAATACATTGATCCTTATTTGATGTCCAATTGTCACATGCATATGAGGTGACTGAAAATACCATTCCTTAGGTTGGGCTCACCTTACTCCTCAAAGTGACATTGTTGCTTTACAACATCTATAGAAGTCGTGTGCAGTGATTTGCCCAGTGCAATGTATCCTTTGATCTCTTGCCTGCTGCTTCCACGAACATTGACTGTGGGTCCAAGCAAAATCAAATGCTTGACCATTTCAATCTTTTCTTTGTTTATCATGATGTTACCCAGTAGTCCAGTTGTGAGAATTTGGGCTTTCTATACATCGAGTTGCAATCCATACTGACAGCTGCAACCCTTGATCCAGACTCTCTCTCTCTCTCTCTAAATATATATACACATATCTACATATATTTTTCCCCTCATCCCTCAGTCTCTCCACTCATTTTGATGTCACTGCCTGCCGAACCTCAAGTCCCCTTTCTGTGCTGTACTCATGTGTAGGAGGTCATGTCCTCTCACAGAGGTTCAATTCATTTTTCTAAGACACCCCCCCACCACTGTAGCAATTCTGTGATATCTCCCATTGTCTCTAGAATAATATCTCAGCAAGACGGGAAATATATGAATGTTCACAGATGAAGGGGAGAAGGTGGAGAGGTAGAGGAGGGTCACTCTGTGTACAAAGTGTTTTATAAAATTTGCCATCGAATCCATCTCATGCAGGGTGATCCTGTACGTGTCAGAGCATAGTTGTGCTCCATAGGCTTTTCAATGCCTGAAATTTGGCGAGACCTTTCTTCTGAGCCATCTCTGAATGGACTTGAACCTCCAACCTTTGAGTAAGCAGGAGAGCTTGTGAACAGTTTGTACCACCCAGGGACTTCACTCAGAAAGTGTTGTTGTTATTTGTGTTGTTGTGGTTAGGTGCCATCCATCAAGTCAGTTCTGACCCATAGAGACCCTCTGCGCAACAGAATAAAACACTGCCTGGCCTTGCGTCGTCCTCATAGTTGTTCCAATGCTGGAGCCCATTTGTGCAGGCTCTGTGTCAATCCATCTCCTTGAGGGCCTTCTTTTTCACTTCCCTTCGACTTTACCATGCATGGTGTCCTTCTCCAGAGACTGGCCTTTCCTGACAACATGTCCAAAGTATATAAGATGAAGTCTTACCACCCCTGGGTCTAAGGAGCAGAGACTGTAGCAAATCAGAAACCTTCAGACTGATGATGGCTTCAGAAGGTGGTTGTTTGGCTAGAGGTAGGACCTAGGGGCAGGAAGCTGAAGGAGTGACAAGAGCTAAAAGGGCAAGGCAGATGCTAGCACGCTTACCCATCACTGCTGTGCTAAGGATTTAGGCAGCACCCTGAGGATGATGCAGAGAATGGGAGATTGGGATGAAGGAAGTGTGGTATGATTGGTGTGACCCACTCCTCAAAAAATAACAAGATGCCCTACGCATATGGAAACTACAAATACTTTACTGAATTGCCAAACCCTGTCGCCATTTGGGCATCTCCCCATGACTGTCCTGGGCGTCATTGCCACAGTAGTGCCCTTGCTTTCCTCTGTGGTCTAGGAAGCTCACCGTCACTCTCTGTTCTTCAGGATGGGACTTTCTTGGTCCGGGATTGTTCCTCGAAATCCAGCTCAGAGCCCTATGTTTTGGTGGTGTTTTATGGAAACAAAGTCTACAATGTGAAAATCCGCTTCCTGGAGAAGGATGGGCAGTTTGCCCTGGGGACAGGACTCAGAGGAGGCGAGGTCAGTATCACTTCTCTGCTCCCCCTGCAACACTACAGGAACCTCCTAAGGGAAGCACTGGGGAGGACAGGTGGTTTAGTGGGCTCCGCACTGACTGCTAACCACAGAGCCAGAAATTCAAATCCACCAGCTGCTCTGTGGGAGAAAGATGAGGCTGTCTACAACTTCAGAAACCCACCGGGGAAGTTCTACTCTGCCTGCCAACCGGATGGCAATGAATTTGGTTATTACTAGTGACCGAAGTCATCTTTCCTTATGCCCACAGCTGCAGGAGGTGGGCAATATAATCTCACCCTTCCAGCTCCTTCCACTTCAGCACAACAGGCTACTGACCAGCCCTTGACCATTCTTTGTGCCATCGGCATTGCTTTTCCTGTAGAAGGAAATACATTCTGCAAGACCCAGATAAACCCACCTCCCAGGCCGTCGTCCTTGATGTCCATACAAATGTGACACTTCCTCCCCCTCCCCTTCCCCTCTCAGGAGCTGCACTCTTACTGCAGAAACTTCTGATTTCCATTAGCATAAGTCCTCTGTAGAGTTGGGTCCATGTATTAGATTCAGTTTTTGACTGCTGGTTGCACTGAGCCATTCCAACTCGTGGCAACCTCATGTGTCATGGAATAAAACTGCCCCATAGGGTTTTCTTGGCTGTAATACAAACTGATTTCCAGGCCTTTTCCTCCATGGTGGCATTTAGGTGGGTTTGAACTGCCAACCTTTAAGTTGGCAATCGAGCACAAACCATCTAGAGCAGTGGTTCTCAACCTGTGGGTCACGACCCCTTTGGAGGTCGATGGACCCTTTCAGAGGGGTCGCCTAAGACCACCGGAAAACACAAATTTCCGATGGTCTTAGGAACTGAGACCCCCACTCCTTTCTCCGTGTCCGGGAGGGTCCACCCACATGCAGATACGCCCACCTACAAGTACCTGGTGTGAAGACTGTTACCGATGCTACACCATGCTTCAAGACAAAATTTCATTGATTTGTAATTAGAAATAAATATTTCACAATATATAATTATATATTATTTTTGTGATTAATCACTATGCTTTAATTATATTCCATTTGTAACAATGAAAATACATCCTGCATATCAGATATTTACATTATGATTCATAACAGTAGCAAAATTACAGTTAGGAAGAGGCAACAAAAATAATTTTATGGTTGGGGGTCACCACCACATGAGGAACTGTATTAACGGGTTGCGGCATTAGGAAGGTTGAGAACCACTGATCTAGAGCTACAAACTGGTTGGTTTCAAACAATAAAATGGGAGTATTTTCTCATATCCTCAGAGGCTAGACATCTGTAATCAAAGCATCAGTAGGGCTGTGTTGCTTCTGAGGGCGCTAATGAAAGATTTTCTCTTGCTTCTTTCGACCTTCCAGTGTTTCCTGATAATCTCTGGTGTCCCTGGCCTTATAAATGCATCATCCCAATATCTACCTCTGTCTTCATTTGGCCAGATTCTGTCTGTATCTCTCTGTCTCTCTTTTTGTTTGCTAAAGACATTGCTTATATTGGATTAAAACTTACCCTCACTCACTGCCACCAAGTTTATTCTGAGACCTAGTGACCCTATAGGACAGAGTAGAACTTCCCCTGTGAGTGTCTGAGACTCTAACTCTTTATAGGAGTAGAAAGCCCCTTGTCTTTCTCCTGAGGAAGGACTGGTGGTTTCAAATTGCTGACCTTGCAGTTAGCCCAACACGTATGAACTATGCCACAAGATTCAGACCCACCCTAGTCTAACACAAATCTCATACTAACTGATAACATCTCCAAAGACCATATTTCCGAGCAAAGGTCCCATTCACAAGTGCTGAATTTTAGACCTTCAATACACCTCTTTATTTTGAGAACAGGGGCAATTCATCCATGGCCATTCATGGATTCCAACCCATAGGGACCCCTTAAAACAGACACCTTCCCCATAAGGTTTCCAAGTCTATGATCTTTATAGACACAGACCCCCACATCTTTCTCCCTCACACGGCTAGTGGACTTGAACTGATGGCAGTTTGGATAGCAGTTGAGTCCTTAGACATGGCACGACCAGGGCCCTTAGCCTCCTGAATAAATGTGAGCTTTGTTACAGCACTCATAGCCACCTAGAGCATGCCCATCTCAGGATACACCTACAGATGAGGGATAGGTGAGAAAGAATGACAAAATTAACCATTCCTTAATGATCGTATCAACAAATTGGGAGGAGGGAGCAAAGAGACTAGTTTTCAGGCAATATTGATATTAATATGTAATATAGATATGTAATGCCAGGCCTACTGTTTAGAGTCTCATTTTCATCAATAGTTCTCCAATGTAATTAGTTTTCTCATTCCAGATGTAGGAAATTGAGTATCAGAAAGTTAAACAGGTGACCACAGTCACACAGGTAATAAGCAAAAGCCTAGGAGAGTCCTCCTTTGACAAAGAGAGGAAAACAAGAAAAAATGAGAGAAAGGAAGAAAGGAAAGAAGGCAAGTTTGGGCATGAATCAGCACAAAGGGAATAAGTAAGCAAGGGCATCCTCCAAGTTCAACCCCAGTGAGCAAAGGTTATGTGGAAACTAGAAAGATGTCACCCATTGTCAATCTTGTGTGGCAGTTACTGAGTTAATCAAAGTAAAGCACTCAGAACAGTGCCTGGAACACATCAATCCCAGGATAAATACTAGTGAGTATTTTTCATTATTGTTACTGTATCATTTTAATAACTAGGATATAGTCTCTGACCACATGAGACTTTTTACTCCCGTAAAGAGTTAACCATCTTGGAAACCCACACAGCCAGTTCTACTCTGTCCTATAGGGTCACTATGAGTTAGAATTAATGTGATGGCATGTTGGTTTGGATTTGGTGGGGGTGGGGATGGGGATGGGGCGGGGGCGGGGTAGGGAATTATCTGTGATTAATGGACTTTGCTATTCATTATTATTTTACTCCAGCACTTATCTATCAGTTTGGCATGTCGTGTTGGCTTATATGTTGCTTTGATACTGGAAAATGTGATATTTCAATACTGGAAAATGTGATATTTCAATATTTGAAACTGATATTTCAAATACAAGCAGGGTCACCCATGGTGGACAGCTTTTAGCAGAGGTTCCATACTAAGACAGACTAGAAAAAAGGCAGATGTGGTCTACTTATGAAAAATTAGGCATTGAACACCTTATGAATAGCAGGAGTGTACTATTTGGTATATTGCTAGAAAATGGGCCCCTCAGGTTGAACGGCACTGCAAACACAACCGGGGGAGTGGTGCTTTCTCAAAGTAGAACCTACCTTCATAGTGAGTATAGACTAATGCTTTCAGGACTTTGGTTACCTGTCATGGCCGAACTCAAAATGATTAGAAACACCTGCACCTATCTACTGATAACCACCAGAACATAGTTTGGACAAAGTATGAATCTAAGAAATTTGGAAGTCATCAAAATGAAATGATCACAAAAAGTTCAATATCCTGTGCATAGCCAGTCACATGGACTACCAGAAGAACAAACAAGTCTGATTTGGAAGACGTTTTCCAGAATGTTCCTTAGAATTTACAATGACGAGACTACATCTCATGTACTTTGGACATGTTATTAGGAGAGACCAGTCCCTGGAAAGGCACATGGCCAAAGGTAAGGTGGAGAACCAATTAACAAGAGGAAGGCCCTCAGTGATATAGATTATCTCAGTGATTGCAACCAGGTGCTCAAACAAGGCAACAATTTATGAGCCTGGCATGGATTGGCAGTGTTTCATACGGTTACATACAGGCTCATTAAGAGTCAGAATTGATATGATGATATGTAGCAACCACACGGCACATTATGCCAGGAATGACAAATTGAAGAGGAATGGCATCTCACTCGTTTTCAAAAAGAATACTAATCTCTTTCTTGTAACACTGCGGTCTGTGACAGGATAATACCCAGATGCCTACCAGTGAAAGCGAGGAAAGATCGACCCAGCGACTCCAACAATGGGCTCCAGTGTAACAATGGCGATCGAGCAGTGTGTTGTTCTGTGTACATAGGATCGCTATGAGTTGGAACCTATTCTACAGCACCTAACAATAAGGAAGACCAATTAATAGGATTATTATTCAAACTTAACACAGCAATCACTAAAGCCAATGATGAAAAATATAAATAATTATACCGTATAAGTAATGCAATCGAGATACATTACTGGTAGTTGGAATTTGAACATTAGAAACAAAGAGAAAAGCTCAGTAGTTGAAAAATAAGACTTTATAGAAACAATGATGAATATTGTGTGATAGGCTTTTATAAAACTATGATTTATCCCTGCAAATGCCTTTTTCAACAACATAAATGACCACTGTATGTATGCTGCCATGACATAAAATACACCTGAATCAAACCAACTACAGTTGTGGAAAGAGACAATGGAGAGGCTCAATAACATCAGCCAAAACAAGGCCCAATGCCAATTGTGGAACAAACCATTAATTGTTCATAGCAAATTCAGATTGAAGCTGAAGAAAATTAATGCAGGTTCATGAGAGTCAAAATACAATACATATAACCTGAATTTTAACACCATCTTAAGAACATTTTTGACTCATTTAACAGATTTGACTATTTGGCCTCTATAATGACTGAGGGCCAGACAAACTGTGGGATGACGTCAAGCACATCATACAGGAAGGAAACAGAAGGTCATGTAAAAACAGGAAATAAAGACCAGAGGACAGTGGCACTTGGTTGTAAATCTAAAGAAGCCAAAGCAACTGGAAGCTAAATGAAGTGAACAAGTTGAGCAGAGAAAAAAAAATCAAAGCGTAGCTCAAGAAGACAAAGTAAAATATAATAATGAAGTGAGCAAGGACCGAGAGTTAGAAAACTAAAGGTAAGAACATGCTCACCATTTCTCAAGCTGAGAGAACGGAAGGAAACATCGAAGGCTCAAGTGACCATATTGAAGGAATAAGACCAGAGAATGGATGATATATTTGAATTATAGTGTTTTCAATGAATATTAATTATAATATAGGCTGTCGGAAGAATAAACAAATCTATCTGACAGACTATAGGCAGAATAGACGTCGTGGTGGCTTCATGGTTATGCTCTGGTCTGCTAAATGCAAGGTCGGCCATTTGAAACCACCAGGTGTATTGCTACAGTCTAGAAAACTCACAGGGGAAGTTCTACCCGGGTCCATATACCTAGGGTTTCTATAAGTCAACATCAACTCCTTGGCAGTGAGTTTGGTTTTGGTTTTTGGGTAGCCAGGATGTTCCTTAGAAGCAAGGATGGTGAGACTTCATCTCATGCACTTTGCATATATGAAGAGAGACTAGTTTCTGGAAAATGACAACATCCTGGGTGAAACAAAAGGTCAATGAAGAAGGTGAAGACTGCGTGAAATGCATGGCACAGTGCCTGCAACCATCAGCCCCAACACCACCCCGTTGTGATGCTGCTGTAGGCTTGGGCAGCACTCCCTCTGCTGTACATGAGGCTGCTGGTCGGCCCAATAGATTCCTTAGTCCCTGACAGCCGCTTCTTCCCATTCACAGATGTCTTGTTAAAAATGAATGAATGAATAAAAGACTTGTTATGCCTTTTGAATGTTAACAATTAAGCATTTTCTTTTCATAGAGGATTGTTGTCTTCAAGTGTCATCAAGTTGGTTCCAACCCATAGCGACCCTCTGCACAACAGAATGAAGCACTGCACGGCCCTGCACCGTCCTCACCTGTTCTTGTTTCAGTTCATTATTGTGTCTATCCATCTGGTTGAAGGCCTTCCTCTTTTTCACCGCCCCTCCACTTTAGCAAGCATGTTCTTCTCCAGGGACTGGTCTCTCCTGACAACATGCCTAATGTACTTGAGACAACGTCTCACCATTCTTGCCTCTAAGGAGCATGATGGCTGTTTTTAGAATAATGAATTAGGATAATGGAAATTATGTGATTTGACATTTCAGATGCCGTTTCATCTTTCTCTTTTATTTTGTATTCATGAAAGCACCAGAAACGACACATCAAGGAAGCTAAACTAAAACAGACATAGCTTTCCCCCTGCAATTTAATATCCCGTGGTCTCCTAACAAAAAAGAACACCTGTAATAATTTAATAACTAGTCAGTAAACCAGTGGCTCTTGACGTGATCCAGCTGATAAGGACCCACGCAGGTGGGAGCAGAAGGTGCTCATAGGGATTTCAGAGACTGTTTTTCCAGGAATGGATGGCTAGGTGTTTCTTCTGAGAACCCTCCGAGCTGACTCCAACCTCCAGCCTCTCAACTAGCAGCCAAGTTCATTAACTGACTTTGCTCTGGGTGCAAGAACTTCCAAATAGCCTTTAATTAGATCACCAGCCTTGTCCACTGATTGTCACATCAACCAAGCCACTGTCATCCCAACAATCAAGAAGGTGTACTCACATCTCCCAGGTGCTTCTCTAACGATCCTTGTCAAGGACCCCTTTGGAGGATTAAATATCCTTTGTCAGAAGACTTTCTTCATGCTCCGCCATTTGTTTGTCAATCTGTCACACTGTAGTAGCTTGGGTGTTGCTGTGATGCTGGTAGCTCTGTCACTGGTGTTCCAAACACCAGAAGGATCACCATAGTGGACAGGGTTCACCGGACCTTCCAGACTAAGAACAGATGAGGAGGAACAACTAGGGAATAGAACTGACCTCGCGGGGTTTTCACAGGCTAAGAACCTTCAGAAGCACATTTCTAGGACTTTGCTATGAAATGCCTCTGGAAGGGTTTGAACTCCAGCTTTTCAGTTAGTTATTGAAGGTTTGTAAGTGTACAATTTGTTACATGAGCTCATCTATGTCCTTAAGAAAAGGTAAGTTTGGGAGGGTTTGTTTGTTTTGTTGTATGAATTGGGTAAAGGTTTGCAGAGTGGATCATCAGCTGTACATTCACCCATTCATACCCATTTTATTTCATTTCACTGATTGCAATCTTCATAGTGTAACATCGCAGATTGCACTTCCTCCTTATCTCTACTGTTTCTATGTCTCCTTCTTCCCTAACCCTTCTGAGCTTCATCCTTGAAAAAATGCTGCCCTTTGAACTCAAATGTTTCCTTACTCTGCGGTGTACATATCTCACGGATACTTTTGTTCCCCTTATAAACCAGTCCCTTGCTTGGCCAAAAAATGTGCCCTAAGGGATGATTTCATTTCCAGACTTGAAGGGTAACAAGGCCACATCCCTGAGGGTCCCGCCAGTCAATAGCCTATTTTGTTTTGTACAAAAGTTTTTATATAATTTTGTATTTTTTTCATTATATTTTTCTACCACTCTATCTATACAGGAATTTCTAATGTATCCTTTTTCAGAGCAATTGGTAGTGATAGCTGGACACCATCTGATTCTACTGGACTCAGGGTAGTGGAAATTGATGTTCACTAGGCCCATGATTCTATGGAACTAATTGTTTCCGATGCCTTCAATTGTCTTCATTCTTCTTCCCTCTGTACAGAGAATCACAAATTATTGTGCCGTAGGTAGGCACTCACATGCTTTTAAAACTCATGCCACTGCTCACCAAATGGTAGATGTAGAACATTGTCTTTGGGAACGATATTATGCCAATTGACCTTGAAGTGCCCTTAGACTATGAACCTGAATCTTCAAACCCAGTGACTCCATTTCTTAAAGTATTAGATTATGTCTAATTTTCCTACCTTTGCCCCCTACATGCTCCATTACATTCAGGAGCACATTTTCAGCAAAGATAAATATCCATGTAAAAAATATCTTTGGTTAAACAAAAAATATATTTGGTAAATACATAGGTACAAGCATCCTTTGTAAAACCTATAATCAATTTTAAGGCATTCTCCCAACCTCCCACTCACACTCACCCACTTTGCGTGGCTATCCATGCTTCTACTCAGAGATCACCATTATTGCAGGATTGTAAAACAAGGCATTTTAGAGTGTCCTTTAATAAACACCAATGTTACTTAAGGAGTGTACTGGTGGCGTACTGCTTACACATTGGACTGCTAACTATCAGGTCAGTAGTTCAAAACCACCAGCCACTCCCTGGAAAAAAATCCAGAACTTTCTACTCCAGTAAAGAGTTAAGGTCTGGGAAATGTACGGAGTCAGTTCTACCCTGCCCCATAAGGGTGGGCAGGGTGGGGTTGGGGGTTGGGTGGTGCTTTGATTCAGAATTGACTCCTTGGCAGTGAGGGTTTTGTAAACATTACATACAATTGCATTAACTCTTTCTTTTGTTTTTCAGAAGTTTGATTCAGTGGAAAGCATCATCAAATACTACAGGAGTTTCCCTATTACCCTGATTGACGGGAAAGACAAAACCGGTATCCAAAGGGAGCAATGCTACCTGACTCAGCCCCTTCCATTCTCACCTTGGTAGCCTGACCCTGCTTTCATCTTTCCTCAGGGGAGGCCTCTACCTTTCCTAACTTATCGCAAACTATTATTTTCTGTGGCTTCAAAGTAGTCCATGTTTAGAATAAGCAAAAAACATGCTGTAACCCAAATCTTAGCAGGATATTAACAGAAAGTTGCTGGAAATTCAAGTTCGATTCAGAGAAGTGCACAGACCAAAGGATATCATTGCTGATGTCGCATGAATCTTGCTGAAAGCAGAAAATACCAGAGAGATGTGATGGGGAGAGACCAGTCCTTGGAAAAGGACATCACGCCTTCACAACAATATGGTGATTCCTTGTGCTCAAGATGCTGGCGCAACTTAGCTGGATTCCGTTTGACATCATGGAAATTCAATTGCAGGGAACACATGTGAGACGAAGATCAAGGGCACGTAGGAATGTCAATGAAAGACCGAATTCACAGATACTTCTCTTCTGGTGTGAGATGATCACAAGATCACTCTCCAGCACTCTTGAAATTGCGATATATATTTTTTGATTTTGGGGGGTATGAAAACTAGGACTGATGAACCTATAGAGTCAGCAAGTAGATTAAGGGTAGAATTGTGGGGAGGGGAGCAAGTAGATTTGTGGGGAGAGGAGCACAGAGGTAGTGGTGGGGTAAAGGAGTGATGACAGCAACAGATCCATACAGAAAAAGAATGTTTGGAAGCTGATTGTGCTAGAAAATGAACAATTCTGTTGGATGTGATTGAACTATATGATGATTTGATATATGTATTTATCCCAGTTATTTTTTTTTAAGTATAATTTCAACTCTGACCCATGGTTGAGCCCCTGTTATCAAAGTAGAACCTTCCTCTGTCTTCTCTCCATTGCCTGCTTTTCCACAAGCAGATCACCAGGTTTTTATTCTGGGAGGTTTCTCAGCATACATTTCAATTATTCCCTAAGTGTATCATTCCATCAAACCTGTTCCAGCTGCCATTTGAAATACCAGTAACATAGCTTCCAGCTTCACAGCAAAACACAAGCCACCACAGTACAACACGGACAGCTAAGTAGTGGTAAATTTGCTGCACATGACCTCTTTAGGGGGTTGAAATGCAAGGGGGGTACTTTGAGGGCTAAGGTGCACCTGACCCAAGCCATGATATTTTCAACTGCTTCATATACATGTGAAAGTTGGACATTGCATAAGGAAGACTGAAGAGACATGGAAGCATTAGAAATATTATTATAGTGAATGAGCGGGGGGGGGAGTGCGGAGTAGAGACCCAAAGCCCATTTGTAGGCCACTGGACATCCTCTTACAGAAGGGTCTCAAGGAGGAGATGAGCCAGTCAGGGTGTGATGTAGCAATGATGAAAAATACAACTTTCCTCTAGTTCCTAGATGCT